GTCAGGGCCCTGAGACCGACGCTGGGTGTCTCACAAGTATAGAAACCTGCATCTTGTCTGACAGAGAGCCAGCCCAGGTGCAGATAATTAATTACCATAGCAACGGGTCCAAGACAGAGGCAGTGAGTAATCTCACAGCGCTGAATCAGATCTCACAATGCATTGTGGGAAGAATACATATTTCCTGTGACTTTTCATGTTTTGCTTACATAAAATTATTATTTGTCTGAATTTTTGAGTGTAAATTAAAATCTTTACTATGAAAATTAAAATAGTTTTTAGAAATTAACTATTACCAACTTTCTTCATATTTTTTATTTTGGACCATGACTGAGAACCACATGTGCGAAGCTTATAGTCGTCGGTCTCGCTTTTCAATGGTGACACATATATTATAATATACCTGACAATATTCACAGCTACTCTGTGCTAGTGTTGGGTTAAGTGTGTCAGACCTGCTTATATCTATTTTTTATGACAAATTTGAAATGCTGGGTTTAAAGGGATGGGCACAGGTGGCAGGCCCCTTAAAATTTCTGCAGGAATTTTCTAGTTATTCCATATTTTTCTTCCGTTACCGTTAATGCGGCTCGTACCGCTGCGTGCCCACCCACAAAAGTGGTATCAAAACGAGCGGCTCGATCCCGGCATTGGAGCTATTACTTTTAGTGGGATTCTGAGATAAAATGACGACATAAATTTAAAAAAATGAAAAAACTTTAATCTGAGGAACTCGCAGCATCACTAAGATTTCTCTCTGAAACACACACACAGGACAGTGGAGGACTGAATCCAAAACTCTGTTTAACTCCCCCTCACAGGCACAAATATCGGCCTGTTGATCTGAAAGTTGGTCATGACATAGATACACATGCCTGCTCCTGTAAAATGGTTTCAAAATTTTCCTAGGGCTTATGGTTTTTTTGTCAGGGCCCTGAGACCGACGCTGGGTGTCTCACAAGTATAGAAACCAGCATCCTGTCTGACAGAGAGAGCCAGCCCAGGTGCAGATAATTAATTACCATAGCAACGGGTCCTACACAGAGGCAGTGAGTAATCTCACAGCGCTGAATCAGATCTCACAATGCATTGTGGGAAGAATAAATATTTCCTGTGACTATTCATGTTTTGCTTACATAAAATTATTACTTGTCTGAATTTTTGAGTGTAAATTAAAATCTTTACTATGACAATTGAAATTGTTTTTAGAAATTAACTATTAACTTTCTTCATGTTTTTTATTTTGGACCATGAGTGAGAACCACATGTGCGAACCTTATAGTCGTCGGTCTCGCTTTTCAAAGGTGACACATATATCATAATACACCTGACAATATTCACAGCTACTGTGTGCTAGAGTTGGGATAAGTATGTCAGACCTGCTTATATCTATTTTTCATGACAAATTTGAAACACTGGGTTTAAAGGGATGGGCACAGGTGGCAGGCCCCTTAAAATTTCTGCAGGAATTTTCTAGTTTATATCTTTATTTTTCTTCCATTACCGTTAATGCGGCTCGTACCGCTGCGTGCCCACCCACAAAAGTGGTATCAAAACGAGCGGCTCGATCCCGGCATTGGAGCTATTACTTTTAGTGGGATTCTGAGATAAAATGACGACATAAATTGAGAAAAACGACAAAAGTTTAGGCTGAATGTCTCACAGCATCACTAAGATTTCTCTCTGAAACACACACACAGGACAGTGGAGGAATGACTCCAAAACTCTGTTTAACTCCCCCTCACAGGCACAAATAGAGGCCTATTGATTTCAAAGTTGGTCATGACATAGATACACATGCCTGCTCCCGTAAAATGTTTTCAAAATTTTCCTAGGGCTTATGGTTTTTTGTCAGGGTCCTGGAGACCGACGCTGGGTGTCTCACAAGTATAGAAACCAGCATCTTGTGTGACAGAGAGAGCCAGCACAGGTGCAGATCATTAATTACCATAGCAACGGGTCCTACACAGAGGAAGAGAGTATTCCCACAGCGCTGAATCAGATCTCACAATGCATTGTGGGAAGAATACATATTTCCTGTGACTATTCATGTTTTGCTTACATAAAATTATTACTTGTCTGAATTTTTGAGTGTAAATTAAAATCTTTACTATGAAAATTGAAATTGTTTTTAGAAATTAACTATTAACAACTTTCTTCATGTTTTTTATTTTGGACCATGAGTGAGATCACCATGTGCGAAGCTTATAGTTGTCGGTCTCGAATTGAATTTCACAGACCTTGGGTTCACACCCTGTTTTTCAATGGTAACTAATATTGTCATAATGTACCTGACAATATTTACAGTTACTGTGTTGTAGTGGTGAGATATTTATGTCAGACCTGCATATATCTATTTTTCATGTCAAATTTGAAAGGCTGGGTTTAAAGTGATGGGCACAGTTGGCAGGCCCCTTAAAATTTCTGCGGAATTTTCTAGTTGGGGCCTGCCCATAGCAATGCATAAGGAGAGCAGTGACTGACCTGCGAAGCAGGTCAGTCACTGCCTCCATGCATTGCATGGCAGGCACCTATTGTTCTACACCCAATAGAACGCCTCTTTATTATTGGGGCCTGCCCATAGCAATGCATAAGGAGAGCAGTGACTGACCTGCGAAGCAGGTCAGTCACTGCCTCCATGCATTGCATGGCAGGCACCTATTGTTCTACACCCAATAGAACGCCTCTTTATTATTGGGGCCTGCCCATAG